AAAATGGTGAGCCCCATTGGAGGGGGAGCGGCTGGGAGGCTGTTTATCTCCGTAAGGGGCCTCTGTTCTCCCTGCTGCCCAGGAGGTTAGAGTGCCCAGAGATCCCCAGATTCCCTGCCTCTGGACTAGGTGTCCTGTCATGTCCCTTTAAGACTTCCAAAAAGCACTCTCCAAACCAAAACAACAATAGCAACAAAAAAAAAAAAGAAAGAAAGAAAGGAAAACGCACGATTTTGTTTGTCCTCAGGCACCAGTCTCAGGCACCTGTTCACTGGTCTTGCTTCCCTGTTTCCCTAGTATTGGGGCCCCTGTCCCTTTAAGACTTCCAAAAAGCACTCACCAAAAAAAATAAATAAATATGAGGAAAAAGGAAAAAAAAAAGGCTGCTCCCGTTTCTTTGTTCTCCAGCGTCAGCCTCAGGTACCTGCTCACCAGTCCTGCCACCCTCTTTACCTAGTATCCAGGACCCCACATGTGCACTGTGTCTGCGCTCTGTTCTGGATGGTTGGGGCTGGGTGTTCAGCAGTCCTGGGCTCCTTCTCCTTCCCTGCTCCGACTCCTCTCCTCCTGCCAGGAGCTGGGGTGAGGGGCGCTCGGGACCCGCTGGGCCGGGGCTTGTATCTTACCCCCTTCACGAGGCGCTGGGTTCTCACAGGTGTGGATGTGGTCTGGATGTTGTCCTGTGTCCTCTTGTCTCTATTTGAGGAAGAGTTGTCTTTTTTATATTTTCATAGATATATGTGGTTTTGGGAGGAGATTTCTGCTGCTCTACTCATGGCGCCATCTTGGCTCTGCCCTTGGTCTTGGTGTTTTTAACAAGTCATGTGAAATGTAGGTCTCCACAGGATTCATAAACTTTAATTTAGAAGTAAAAATTAATTTAAAAAAAAATCTATTTTTACTTTTAGTAAGATAGCAAAGAAGAAGTCTCCAGAAAGGTTCCGAATGCCTTAAAGGAAAATTGGATTTGATGGTTCTGTTTCGGTAATATACAAGAAATTTCTAAATAACTTATTAAAATGGAATGATATGCCCCACTTTTTTTTATATTTTGGTGTCATTAATCTACAATTACATGAGGAACATTATGTTTACTATGCCCCACTTTTGATTTAAAATCCATTATACTTATCTCCAGGAAATAGCAAAAAAAAATTTTTTAATAATACAAATCTTTAAGAGCCACTTGACATCATGAGAATAACTTGTTTGAGGATAAATCTTATCTTGATACAAATATCTGTTTGGAAAGTGAAAAAAAGCATCAGAAATTCTGTGTAAATCTTTGCTAAAAGAAAGATAACCTATAACTTATTCTATAGATACTTTTCTTCATGATATGGTGTCTCACTAGATGGGTTTCAGCCTCAACCAAGTTCATTCTTGATTCAGGAGACCGAAAAACGACAATGGAACATTCTTGGGGGTGAAAGGGTTCATGCCCAACTTTATTCCCACGGTGTCAGGCCAAGTGCTAGAATCTCATCTGCCTCCAGGGAAAGCCTGCATGCAGCAAGCCAGTCTCTGCCTCTGCGCCTGTCTGCCCCTGCAGTCATCTCAGCCTCTGTCATCTTTGCCACCACCACTCCAGCCTCTGCTTTCCTGCAGCCAAGCAGCCCAGAGCACCGGGCAGAGCTCTTTATGTAGAGTCAATAATGACACATTGCCCACACGTGTATAGTGAGCGAGCCGACCAGGGTCAGGTGAGAATTCAGGCCATAGAAACTTATTTTCTCTACATATGGAATATTCATGAACATTTGAATTTTTAGTCACAAGGACCATTATGGAGAAAACTTCCAAAACTATGTAAACATGATTGATTTGACTCTTTGCTGGCCCTGTATATTTGGAATTCATTGTAATTCCATATGGATAGGAATGATATTTACCTTTGCTATATCAATGATGAAGGGCTTGTTAAATAAATTCTGCAGTAGTGAAGAAGGAGATTTTAAAGTAATTGAATAATTTTTGTCCACAAATGGCACTAGTAATTCCAGGTCAGTCTTTTTACTCCCTCTTACTCCTATAGTCCACTGGGTCTCTCCCCAAGCTCATCAAATCTGACAAATCTATAAATAAACTGAGCATCCTCTCCATTCCCTGCCTGAATTGACTCGTTAGTGGACTACCCATTTCTGTCAGTGGCCCCATCCCTGTCTTCCAAGTGTTACCAATGAGAGGAAACCACATCAGGGTTAAACTTCCTTCTCCCTCATAAGGCCATCCTGGGATTGTCTGCAAGTTCAGTTTGGTCTATCATTGTCTCTCCAGTTTTCCGTTCTTTTTCGTTCCCTTTTGTAGCCCTTGAAACAGCTCTGTTGTTATGCAGAGCTTAAACTCTGACACCTGATCTGACATCTGACTTTCACTGTGAGACTTGGTTAAGGCCATCACCCCATCATCCTATTTCTGGGCTGACACTATTTTGTTCTCCTCATTAGTTTTACTACTTGTATCTTACCTTCTTCATTGAATCATCAAAGTAATTTTTTTTTATTGGTGCTTGGAGAAAGAAGTATGTCCCTGGGGAATAAAAAAAAGATGTTGTTATCCTAAAGAGTAGCATGTGAACACCAATCGTTTTAAGTGGAAGTGTCTAGTGTTAATGTGTTTCAAAACCATAACTGCTATTGTGGAGATAGATAAAAGTAAACTGGGGCCTAGCCTTTTTATACAGTTTTTTTATTGATATACACTCTTATGAAGGTTTCACATGAAAAACAATGTAGTTACTAGATTCACCTATATTATGGGGTCCCCCCATACCCCATTGCAGTCACTGCTTTTTTTTCATCAAAGTAATTTTTATAAAATACTTATTTAATGCCATTTTCCCTGCTTAAGTACCTACAGTGTTTTCTTATTGGATGTTATATAAAATATAAATATCTCTTCCCTATATATAAAGCCCTGTATCACTTGATTTCCCTCTGGTCATTGAATCAGTTTCCTTTACTAGTCCTTGAGTAGATCCTCTGATCTAGTCAAATCATTTCCTTATCTCAGTCTCTCCTCCCCCTCCTGCCCACCCGACACACACACACACACACACACAAACACACTACCAGTTTCCTCCGCTGTCTGCTAGAGGAAGTGAGCCTCTACCTCTTGGGAAGCCCTATGTTCCATCCATCCAAATTCTATCCAATTAACAATGATTTCCTTGAAAATCCTCTTCAAAAAACTGAGGTTAGGTTTCATCTCACAGAGAGCCTCTAAATAACGTCAGAATATATATAATCTTCTGTAGAATCTTGGAATCCCAGAGCCAGATTCAGTTACTACCCCATGTTGAGTTTAGCGCTGCCTCCCACAGCAGCCTTGAGAGATTCACTCTTCCCTCCAGCCTGGTAGTAGCCCAGCACTCTGTGATGGACAGGGAATGCAGAGATGAAACGAGGTGCCTGCTCTCAGGAAGCTTACACTGTCTTGAAGAGGGGAGACAGAAGCGACTCAGTTACAGAGCAGGAAAGGTGAAGGGACAGACAGACACTGTACTGGCAGGGTGATCAAATGGTGGGAGTAAGTGACTAAATCTGAGCAGTTGGGAAGGGAGGTGATGCCTGACCTGTGTTCTGAGGGGTGAGGAGGAACTATGCACAGACAAATTGGAGCATTTCCAGGAAGGGAGCAGCATGGAATGGACTTTCTCTTTCTGAAATTCGCTAGTGTGCACTTAGTCTAGTCAGCCTTCAGTCAGCACCATATCACCCTGCACTTGCTTGTGTATGACCTGGAAATCAATTTCTTGTTTAACAAACATCTTGATATCGTTCAAACAGAAGATGCTTTTTTTTTTTTAGGTAAAGGGTCATGTTTTCAGTTGCTTTTGTATCCTTTACATTGCCTAGTAGCAGCACATGCAAAGTAGGGCTAGTCTGGGTTTTGTTTAATGTAAAGGTATATTGTAGACTCATTGTAATGATGGATTTGCCCTGCTTGTCCAGTATTCTGGATTCCAACCATTCACTTCTCCTTACCAATGTCTCCTGTATCCATTTTTTTTCCCATTTCCTTTGTGACCAAAAGTGTGCATACAAGATGACTTGTTTGTGTTGTGGAAGAGTCTTTGACCATGGAATGAAATAGAACAAATTGCACTATATGGGAATGGAAGCTGTGGTCTTGAGCTTCAGATTGGTGGTTTAAGCAAGTGAGTCAGCCACAGACTGGTGCTACATACTTGTTCATTGAATGATTTGAACAATCCCTTTATAATATTCTAGACATGATCATTCTGAGCTTGATAAGTCTTCACAAAGGAATTCTTTCCTTATCAGAATCTACCCTTAGATTCTTGAAACAGGTCTGCTGCTGCTCTGTAGCTCCACTCACCACTATCTGCCCTCAAACTATCTGGTGTCATTGTCGCAGAGTGAAGTAGAATAGGATATTTGAAGATGCTTTCTTATGGGAGAAGAGAGATCTGTGGCAGTTTTTTTCTTTGAAGATGGATGTGACAGACCCAATGAATTGTCCCCTAGTATCCCCTTCTTCCATGTTAAGAGCGCCTGTGATTTTTAGCTGGGCACATGGTTACCCTGAACAAATACTCAATTTTCCATACTCTCTTGCAACTTGCTGTGGCAGAGTGACTAAATTCAGCCCTATGGAATGTGGGAGGTGGGGATCTAAACGACTGCAGGGTTGAATCTCTCTGAAGAAGGGATCCTGCCCTTCCCTTCCTGATATTTTCACCTCCCTGCTGGCTGGAATGTGGCTGTGGTGTTTAGCTGTCCTGGACCTTGGAGATGAGGGAAACACCTTTAGGGTGGAAGAGGAACAAGATAGAAGGAATCTGAGGCCCTGACTGGAGCTACTATATGAGCCTTAGACTGCTTATATGCAGAGCTGTTATGTCAAAGAGAAATCATTACCTTGATTAGGCTATGTTTGTTTTAGGTCTCTGTTTCAGCAGCTCATTTGTATGTTGGGGGATAAAAAAAGTTATGAGGCTCAGTGTCAGCTGAGTGATATGAACAAGATGAGAAACATACTTTTAAAGATATTTAATAAGACTTTTTTTCAAATAGGTACAAAAATTTAAATACAAAAATGATTTGCTATTGACAATTCTCAAATCTATCATGGAAACTCAAAAAGGTTACCAGTCTGTTCACCGTTCATGGTCTTCTGTAAAATATTTGAGAGCAGTCACCCACTACAGATGCTCTTTTCCCCTGTGGGATGTCGTACTGCATTAAAACTCTGTATTTAAATGTCAATAATGCCAGTTTAATCCATTTCACGTGGAATAGTTCTAGATAATTTTGAATTAAATAGGGTTATCTAGAATTTCAAAACATGGGGTTGTTTCATTTGCTTTTACAACTAGTGTGTTAGCATGATGCGCAACAATCAAAAGGGAACACACAGACACATAGATAATTATTTAAAACTCTTTTTTAAATTAAATGGAGTAATTTATATCGCTCTGAGATTAGCACCATTGTAGAATACACAGTTTATGGCATAGATTTTGCTCCTCCCCTATCTGAAAGTTAGAAGCATATGCCTGATAATACACACACATACGTATACACACACACACACACACACACACACATATATATATCTGTATGTATATAAATGAAATTGAGTAACAACCAATAAATAAGTTGGAAGGTATTTTGAAAAGTGAAATTTTAACTAAAGAGGTACTTTCTCTCTTACTTGGTGGAAATAAGGAGCCCATACATGTACAGATAAACAGTTTTACAAATGAGCTGATCTGACTTGCTTCCAAGCCATGTCAATGCAGCTATGCAGCAGCAGGAGCCCAGTGGATTCCTGTTGTCCCCATAGCCATCAGCCCTCCACCAGCATCTTTAAGGCCAACCTGTTGGATATTTGGCCACATAAATGCTATCTGCTTTGAAAATGAAAGGTAGGACATCTTTTTCATGGGAAAAGTTTGTTATGTAATTAGCAGTGAATAAGAAACCCTGTAAGAATGAACTCATTTCTCTTTTTAAGAAATTGAGAAGAAATACAGTACTTGTAAACCATACATGGGAAAAGAGATATTAGGTTGAGAATTTTCTTGATGGCTGAAATGACTCAGATTTCACTTAGATACATTTCCACGTGCGTTTATACCGTATTTATTTGTGTATTTCCCCCTGTGTATGTATTTCCTCAGCGTCTCTTAATTTTGAGGAAAAGATACAAGATTCTACAGCCATAACCCACATTATTTCCCCCAGGGGCTTATATTGTCAGCAGCGGACTCACAGCTGACTTGAAATGCTTTGTCTGTATTTTGAGACCAGATTTGAATGCCCCCAAAGCAGTTAGTATGTACTTAAGTAAAAACCTGGAAATATGTTTATTTTTCCCATAAACTTGTATTGACTTTTGACTTGTGCTGAGTATGAGGTGACATAAAAAGCACGGGCTGTCATTGCCCTTTGACATTAGCTCTTCCACAGGCTGCTTCTGAAGAAAGTTCTTTCTCGACAATTTTAATATCTATACCAGGAAGTAGTGCTTCTACTACTAATAGTGCCACTGTTTTAAACTTTAAAACTTCAGAAATTACTTTTTCAAAAATTTTATTTTCCTATGTAATTCTGAAACTCCTCCCTTGCCCCCTCCCCCCAATAAAGGATGGTTTGGGTTTTGGAAATTGACTTTGGAACATCAGATGACGCAACAATTTGCACTTGTACTACACAGGGACATTTCTTCAAAATTCAACAGCTATTTAAAAAATTAGTATCTTCTTCATGGGTGAAACCTCATTGTAATAATTTGTTTAGGCAAAAAAGGAGGATTTTTATATGCGTGCAAATATAATTACTAACTGCTATTGCTAGTGAACATTCCACAAACCGGGAAACTTATGGGTGAGATGGTTACTACCTTTTTCTTATGACTTCCAGGTGTTTATATTAGTTGGGTCATAGCAGAAATTACAAGGAGGGAAGAAAAAAATTCCCCCCCAAAAAACCAAAAGAACCCTTGAGGAATAAGTGAACTAATTTCTGCTCATGTCTTCTAGCTAGTTTCTTAGCTCTTTGTGGGTACTGTCTGAGCCCCACAAAAAAGTGCCTCATCCAGTGCCAGGCAGAGAGAAGCACTGAATAGTAAATACACAACAGTCGACTGGTTCACCGGTTCTTCTAGAGACACAAGACCCACAATTCTGAGTAGGACTCTTGTTAAAAGACACAGCCTCCGCTCCGATAGGGTTCCTGGCTCCCTCCTGCCGGGGCAGTAACACTGCAGCACTCCTCCCCCATGTGCATGACAAAATATCTGCACAAACACAGAAGAAACTATGCAAGTAAATACGGTATGTAATTGTTATAACTGACATTTCTTTAAGCCACATTTATAAATCTTTTAGCGTAATCAGTGTGAATGAGTGACTTTCACTAGCTATGATCTTTCGTACTGACATATTTCGCCTGATCTGAATAAGTAGGTCATCATGGAAGCATGTAACATACATCAGCTAAAATGATTCCAGTGGGTACCACACAAGTGTCAGTACTAGGAAGCATGTAACATACATCAGTTAAAATGATTCCAGTGGGTACCACACAAGTGTCAGTACTAGATACATAAATCTATCCCATCATTTTCAGTTACAAGCTGCTGTGCAGAGCATTAAACATGCATCTTAGTCTTTAATTGTACACAATGGTTCAAATTTTCACTTAAATATAACTTTCCAACTATATAAATGTTTTGAAGCAATTATGTTTCATTTGGAATTTTTTTGGCATGTCATTTTCTTTTCTTCTGTTAAATCTCTCTTTCGTTTCTTTTTTACATGGGATACAATAAATATCCTGAAAAGGAGGAATGGACGTACTGGCCGGCGTACAGTCCTGCCGCCTGTTCAGAGGGCATCTGGAGGAACACGCGGTCTCCGGGCCTGAGCAGAAGCACGGCGCTGCCAGACGCCTGGTCCAGAAAGCCCTTCTTATACTCGTCGTACGTGTACATCATGGGCTCGTTGTTCTTGAACAGAGCAACCCACACGTTGCCGCCCTTGCAGTGAACATGATATGCGAAGTAGTAGACCCCGGGGACCTCGCAGGTGAAGACGCCCGTCTGCGGGTTGTAGTTCTGTCTGCCGTTATAGAGCAGTTTGTCGAACTTAACGGGGGCCCCCACGGGCGGGAAAGGCGCAGTCAGCTCCGCAGTAAATGCAGGCATCTCGTAGGTGGGCCCTCCGTTCTTGCCTTTCTTAGCTCCATAGGCATGGGGGGGTTTCACCCCTTCAATTCCCAGCCCCATATCCGGCAGATACTCTCCGTGGGGTGGTGGTGTAGGGGGCATCACGGCTGGGGGTCCTGGGGGCCCTGGAGGGCCTGGGGGCCCAGGAAGGCCAGGCTGACCTTGAGGACCCAGGGCACCAGGCTTCCCTGGGGGGCCATGAAGTCCTGCCACTCCCGGCTTCCCTACTCCAGGGAACCCAGGGGGCCCTGGGAGGCCTGGTTCCCCTTTGGGACCTGGGATGCCAGGTGGTCCAATAGGGCCACTAGGGCCTGCAATCCCTGGGATGCCTGGGGGGCCCTGCAAGCCCTGACCTCCTGGGATTCCTGGTTCTCCCTTTGGTCCAAGCAGCCCTGGCACACCCGGGAGCCCTGGCAAACCTTTGAGCCCCGCTTCCCCCTTTGGCCCTATAGGACCTGGCAAACCCCTCATGCCAGGGGGTCCCACTTCCCCAAGGAAGCCTGGCTTTCCTGGGAAGCCTTGAAGCCCTGGCTCACCCTTGGGACCTGGTGGTCCCTGTGGCCCCACAACTCCACCTTCTCCTTTGGGTCCAGGAAAACCAATAGCACCTGGAGGACCCATAGGACCTGGGATTCCAGGCAGGCCTGACTCTCCTGGGGGACCCCCCATTCCAGGAGCACCTACTGGTCCTTTCTCCCCTCTTGGTCCCAGAGCTCCAGGAAGACCCCCTACCCCCCTGTCACCTTTGGGTCCAGGGAAGCCTGGTTTCCCAACCCCTGGAAGGCCGGGGGGTCCTGGCAGCCCTGGCAGTCCTTGCTCCCCTTTACCACCTGGAAATCCTGGCTGGCCAGGGATCCCATCCTGGCCTGGTTTTCCAACTCCAGGCATCCCTGGAGGCCCTTGAACCCCTGGGATCCCAATAGGGCCTTGTGGCCCTCGTTCGCCTGGAGGACCTGGCTTACCCAGGGGACCCTGGGGCCCAGGGAAGCCTGTCACTCCTGGTTTGCCTACTCCTGGAAGTCCAACAGGTCCAGGAGGGCCATGCAGCCCTGGAGGACCCTTCAGGCCTGGCAAACCTGGCATCCCGAAGCCCTTCTCTCCTTTAGGACCCTGAAGGCCTGGAGGTCCTGGTAGTCCTTTGGGTCCTCGCTCACCCTTTGCACCTGGTTGTCCTGGTAACCCTGGCCCACCTGGCTTCCCAATGCCAGGAAGTCCATGAGGTCCTGGAGGCCCTTGGGGTCCTGGGATCCCCATAAGCCCAATCTCTCCTTTGGGTCCAATTTCACCTTTTGCCCCAGGCATTCCCATGGCTCCTGGCTTTCCTGGCATTCCAGGCATACCTGGCTTTCCAATTCCTGGATATCCTTGTGGCCCTGGTTTTCCTTTGGTCCCAGGTATCCCATGACCTGGTAAACCGGGGGGCCCCGGTGGTCCTCTGGGGCCAGGTTCTCCACGGGGACCTTGCTCCCCTCGTAAACTGGCTAATGGTATTTCTACTGGGAAAGAGTTAAGAGAGAAAGAGGGAGGGAGAGAGAGAGAGGTTAACATTGATTATCCCTCATGTCAAGCAAGTCATGATAATCATTGTTTAGTTCTGACACATTTGCCTATTACTTAATGAGAGAAAAGACTGGGAATAATGTTCTCATCTTCTGGGCTATGTATTATCAGTACTTAAAGGACAAGCCAGCTGATAATTTGGTTGTTGTATGTGAGATACCGTTTTGAGAACTGGTATCTGCAGCTGCTTTTCTCAACACTGGTTAAGTAAAGAGGCTAAAACGTAATGAAGAATCATTTTTCAAGTATAAAAGTTGGAGATATTCTGGTGTTTTTATTATAGAGAATGTGGAAAATTCAGAGAAGGATAGTGAAAAACCAAAGTTGCTTATAAACCCACTACTCAGAGATAATTATTTGACATTTACATGTATTTCCATCTTGTGTATTCTAGGTGTATGTGTGAATGTGTGTGTATTTTAAACAATGTGGGGGTCACTTTTCATTTTTATTTTTTCTACTTAACATTGTATTTTTCCATGTCCTTGATTTTTTTATATAATAATTTATGACTAATATTTCCTCTTGTGCTGAAATACAGCATAAAGTATATAATGAAAGTCATTATCACGTGGGTTCAGAGAAGAAAAGCATTTTCTTTGTGATTTAATAACATCTTTCACACCTGTCTGTCCTGTAGAGTCAAATAGATTTACTTGATTTCTTTAATGTGCTGTAGGATTTCCTAAGCTTCAGATATGAATTCTTTAATTGAATACATTACTTATCACTTGCAAATTATGCTATGTCTTTCAGAGAAACACAACTCTGGATGACCTCCCACACTGCTGAAATGAAACATAAAGAAATGAAACTGATGGTCCCAAAGTCATTTTTACCAATAGTCTTGTCTTAATCCCAACCATCATATTTTCCACTGAGCTACTGTCAGGAAACAGTATAGAACCTCTCATTCTTTCCAAATTCCCCAACTGCAATCTATAGGAAGTTCCAAAAGCCAGACAGGCCATTCAAGGAAGGAAGGAAAACAAGTGGCTGAGATAATGTCCTACGTGGAGTATCAACTCCTACAGAAAAGAAAATTGGTAATCCTTCTTTTATGCTGATAGATATTATTATAGCACTATTAAAGCATGTCATTTCTAAGCAGTGAATTGTATAGCTACTATATCAAGAGAACATCTGAGGCAGGGTCACATCTTATTCATCAGGAATCCCTAGTGTCCAGCACAGTGCCTGGAACATACTCTGCTCTTACCTAGGGCTCCTTGAACAAGCAGCTGTAGCAACTCAATTCTATTCTAATGTTGCTTTAGTGTTCACCTAGCTCTTTCACTTACCTTATGTCATTGATTCTATCAACAATCTTACTTTAAAGATTAAGAAAAATATTCTCAGAGGGCTTAAATGACCAGGTCTCTCCCATTTCTGGCCTACCGGCATCTTGGCCACGTAGAGCCAAATCCACTAGTTCCCTGGAAGTGGAGCCTCCTGCCCTTGCAGAGACCAAAGGGAATGGCCTCTACTTCCTCAAAGGAAATTACTACTATGATGCTGTTCTTACATTTGCTAGCTTTCCTAAAACTCCAGAGAAACCAACTGAATTTATAAGAAAGTCTCTCACAGTCATAGGCATTTTGTAGGTGTTGAATAACTAGTGAATGTGCATGAAAAGTAATGGGAGAGATTTTCAGGTATCATCTCCAGCTGCAGTCTATACTCTTCAGTCTCTTTCTGTTGATTTATTCATCGATTTAAGTAGTACTTTAATTAGAGTAGTCTTAACAAACACTCACATTTATCGAGCACCTTGTTTACAAAATGCTTTCATATATATATATTTTAACACAGCAGGTCCTTACAGCATTTCTTTCCTAGTTCAGAAGACTGACTTGTACCTTTCCTTTTTTTCACTGCTTTCTCCCCAGCGTCTGGCCCAGAGCCTGACACAAAAATAGATGCTGATTAAATAGGTGCCAAGTGTTTGAATAAATAAATAATGAATAAGGAAATAATAAACTTTTTAATGGAATATGTTTTATATCATTTTATGCTGTTAAAATAATAAAGCACAAATGATAAATAGTAATTTTGTCTGTTCCTTTAAGAGTTGAACTTTCTCGAGGATAGAGTTTAGAGGACATTCAATGAACATCAGTAACACATTCTAAAATAAAATATTCTAAAACATAGCTTTCCCCCTTATATCATAGTTCACGATTTTGAGAAGCTGTTGTTTTATGACAGCACAGGAGAATGACATTACCTTTGCCTTTCTTGGGTGCTGCTTCCTTGTTCACTCTTGGGACCTGCTGAATCTCCTTCATGTATTGGGGTAGGTGTGGATACTCTTTGCCATAATGCATGTGGGGCAGCTCCTTGCCCAAGGTAAGGCCATCTTTGCCCAAAGGCATGTGAGGTACTTGCTGGCCCAAGGGCTGGTATTGCGGAATTTGTGGTGGGATCTGAGGAGGAATTTGAGGTGGCAGTGGCTTGATTCCATAGTAGGCACCAGCCTGGATGAGCCGGACAGAGCCCAGAGAAAGGGTAAGCAGCACTCCCAGCAGCTGTGGAGGGGCAGGCGGCGCAGCCATCACCTGTGGAAGGAAGGGATGACCAGGGTGGTGAACAACAGAGACCATGCCACAAGAGGTCTTGTCAGTAAAAAAGGTGTACAACCACGACAGCAAAGGAAACAGTCTATCCTTACAGCTTCACAAGTGGAAGACAAATGAGGAGGAAGATGTTACCTTTCAATAGAAAATAAATAGAAAACAGAGGAGGATCTGTCAAAAGAAGGCCATTGTGGGGTTATAAACTATAGGAAAGGCTGCTAGTTGTCTCTCAAAAGAAATTCTGACTTCTTCCAGAGTCCTGGAACAGAGCAGCCTAGAATGAAGACATTTCAGTCAGGTGTGGCCATGTGACAGAGATCTGAAAAGTTGGAAGTAGTTGTAGTGGGAACAACTTCCAAGAAGGATCCTAGAAGGAAGTGGGCGTGTTCTCCCTCTTCCTCCTCCTTGCTGGCTGAAATGTGCTACACTGAAATGAACTGACCGGACACCTTGGACCCTGCAGTGAAGGCTGTGCACTGAGGGTGGTAGAGCAGCAAGCCAGAGGACACCTCAGCCTGGGTGAACATGGAAGCACCATATTAATCCTTAATTTTGGAATTTGTGCAAGAAAGAAAGAAATAGAAGTTTGTCCTCTTTAAACCACTATTATTTTGGGTGTCACTCCTAAGGAATAGGGTAGATTGTCTAAAAGGAGGCAAAAGTGAGGCAATTCAGGCTTTGTTAGTAAGTGTTAAATTCTATTCTAAAAAGAAACAATTTATAGGCTTTATGACAGGGGCTGAGATTTTTTCATCTGCCAGATGCCCTTTGGCTGCTTTGGTGTGGTTACAAATAAATTCACAAAAGAGCAAACAGCAACAGCAATAAAAACTGCAGAAGTCTTCTGAATTAGAAAGAAGGTAGGTACTTCATGAGACAGTTCCCAAATGTCAACTGAAAAATCACTGTCATAATTATGCACATACAGGGATGCCATTCCTTTTCTCTATTTAATGGCTATGAAGTCATTAGTTTAGAATTTGGCTAATTGGACCTGGAGTCCATTAAAGTTTATCTTTGTACTGTTACAAAAGAAAGGAGTTTACAAAACAAATTAGTTTCATAAATAAGATAAAGATGTTTATTCACAAGAATAAACTGTTTTTAATCCTTTTAATAGCACTCTTTTCAAATTAGCAGTTAATGGAATAAATATAAGTGGGGCATAAATGTTTATAAAAACCCGCTCGAAAAGACCTCTTCTGGAAACATGCAGAGCTGAAGACCTAAGTCAGGGAACTGAAGTGCTCACAAATGCCCACTAGAGGGCAAGTGTGACACATATTGAAGTCTTCCGTTATTCCCTGCTTCTGACAGGACAATGGCTTGGCTCTCACCCCTTAAAGGACCTAATGAAGATCTCAGTTCTAAGTGGAGTGTCATCGTTATGATGGAGAAAGAGAAGTGGCAACTTTCTCATAATTTTTAATGTAAGTATCTTCTGGAAAACTTAATAAACTGTAAGTAATTTAGTTTCCATTCTCCAGAGAGTTTTTCTTTGCTTCTGCCTTACTTAATTTCGAATCATAGTTTTTCCACTTCTTATAAAATGTGTGTTGACTTTGCAACATCCTATTCAAGAGTAATGCCAATAGTGTGAACAGGCTACAGAAAAATTGGTTAATAAAAAGCACCTAAGAAAATATTTAATAAGAATCTCTACCGCAAAATGCACTGTTTCACAATTTTTCTAAATGTACTAACTAATCATTTTTTTCTCCTTTGGTGGGAAAAATGAAGAAACATCTGTCAGCAAATTGATTTGTAAAACTCTCTCCATTTCATAAATCAGGATAGTCTCAAGAACTTTTTTGTTTCAAGTGTACTCTAAATAGTGTATGTACCTGTAAATGGGAGAGGATAGAAAGCTGTTATTTTCAGTCCCTCTAAGGCTGATAAATTGTTATAAACCATTTGGAGAGAGCCAAAAATTAATACTGATTTACACTCAATAATAGTCAAATTTATTTTAAATGGAAAAAGAACATCTATTGCAAATATTGAATGATAATTTATTAACTACTTACCAGACAAAGTTAGACGCATTGAGGGATTACAAAAATGAATATAAAATGGTCAATGGGCCCTGCCCTTAAGGAGCTTATACTTTATTAGTGAGAGTGACAGATATGTAAACTATTAACAAGTAGCAAAGGATATCAGAAAAGAGGAAATTTCCCTCCCACTTTTCTTTGCAGTATTTAAGTCCCTTCCCTTTGAAGCAATAGTTTTTCCTATTTCCCCCACATCTTTCCAGAAATATTCTATGAATATTCACACACTCCTTTACAAAACAAATTACAGCATACTATATACACTACTATTTTCTTTTGTTTTCACTCAGAAGACTAGAACTTCAGACCTTATTTCTCATCTTACTTTGTGTTTTTGAAGAGATCCCCTCAACTTCTTCACTTGGACTTTAAAAATAGTCCTCGATTGCACTCTAAAGTCCTCTGACATTCAACTGCAATTCTAAGGCAGTCAGTAGAGGGCTGAGAGTGTCCATCTGCACCAGACATATGTGGGGAGACCTGGTGACGTGTAAGCTGGGACTCAATTCTACCTTTGGGAATGAATGAATTTAATTATTAAACCCTAAACATGGTAATGTCTTTAATAACAAGCTAGCATGCTTGGCCTTTCACCCTTCCATCAATTCAGTGGACATGTTGGATTATATTTAATAATCTTTGAACCAGGACAATCTAATAAAACGCTGGAAAACTGGAAGGAAGCAAAATTCCTGGAAGAAGACCAGTTGAAAACCAAAAACCCAGTGGGATCCTGCTTTGCCACAATTTTTTCCTTTTGTAGGCTCGGCCTTTCTCTCCTGAAAACTACCTCCTATGGCCTGCCATCTGCCATTTCTCTGGCTTTTTATTTAAATAAACTTTGCTCAGTTTTAACTTGAATATTCATGTAGAGGTTCTGCTTAGAATTTACCACCTGACTTATGCTAAATAACTTTCCTCTTGTCCCTGAGGATGTTTTTGGTGGTCAAAGTGGTGTGGTGGCTCTGCTCAAATCACTCAAAAGAACATCAGAGTCGTGTAACACACAAACACCTGGTGTGGCAAACAGCCTCGGAATCCTTGCTGGGAGAAATGGTGGTGGTGGGTTTTCTTGCCTTGTTTTTCTTTTCTGAGGATGGAGAACACAATAATGTTGTGAATTCTAGTGGATGTTTTGTTGGATTTCTATTTGATAACTGGTGTGTGTGTGTGTGTGTGTGTGTGTGTGTGTGTGTGCGCGCGCGCATGCGCGCGCTTGAGTGTACACAGACGCATATATCAATGTGTGTGGGCGCTGGTCTTCACCACTCAGGTCAGTTTGGTGGCAGGTGTTACATCATAGGGGAGATGCATCACAGAAGGAGCCAAAGACCTGGAGTTGTGTTGTGGCTCTGCCATTCTCCAAGTTTGTGACCTTGAGCAAGTCCCTGATCTTCACTAAGCCTCAGTTTCCTTCCCTACAAAACAGAAATGTTAATCTCGGCCTCTCCCACAGAGCTGTGCAAGGATACAAGTGCTAATATGAATTCTTTGTAAGCTGGAAAGCACTATTCAAATTGATGGTATTATTAGTGGAGTGTGACCAAAATGACATCAAAACCAACTGAAATGTCAAAGACTTTCACAGACAGATACTGGCCACAGTAAATGTGGGGTCAACTGCAGTGGTGATAAACAATGTGAATAAAACAATGATGGCCGTTAAACTGTACTTGATAAAAATGGCAAAAAAAAGAGCAGCTGAAACCAGGCAGTTATTCATTCTGGTATCAGAGTCGCCCATCCTACTCATTTTAAACAGCCCTAAGCAGTTCCCTATGTTGGGCAGGGTAGGGCAGAGTTTCAGTTTTCTCATGTGACCCATAATGTATGTAACAGAACAACGTGATATATATTATTTGAGATGCTCCTTAGCATTTTATTTGTACATGTATCCTCATGAAACTGGCTTGCTGTCCAAAAGAATGTTTAAGTATTTAAACTTTGAGTCCTTGCCCTGAGTCCAACTCTCCATCTCCTGTGGAGCTAACACAGCATATGTGTGTACGTGTGTGCATGCGCCTGGGGTTGTGCTGTTTGTAATGTGCACAAGCCTCTCTCATCTGCTCCTCTGTGGCCCCTACTTGCCCCTTGCATGGGGTTTATAGTTTCTCAAGGCCTCAGATTTATCACTCCTGAAGCAAGAGAAGCGCAGAATCCTACTCCTCCAGTATTCACCAGAATTGTCTTCCTGGCTTTTCCATGCCTCTCAAAGGAAATTCTCTTTTGATTGCATTTCTCAGGGCTATTCATTAAATAGCCTATTAAATGTCACAAGTTGTTCTGGTATGAGGCCAGAGTGATGAATTAGAGAGATGAAGTCCCCGATCTTACTGTACTCTCACTCTAGTGTGGGGAGAAGGCATAAACAAGGTAAAAATAAATTCTGTAATTTTAGATTTGAGGGCTGTGAACAAAGCAAAGCAGGGTGAAGTGCTTGAGAAGGACCTGGGATGGAAGACATTGTTTTGGGAAGGGAGGGAGAAGACATATTTGAGAAAGTGAATTTTGGATAATGGTTTATTTATCTTTCTGAAGGTATAGTATAGAAAAAAAGAGTCTTATTTATTACAGCGTTCATGGTGAGTACCTTTCAGTAATGTAAATCCCTCTTTCAAAACTGTTTTCCTCATTTATGTCAGTTCTCATTTCCCCTCTTTGTTCACTGTATTCTTTTTACCTGGGGGATTTTTTTTTTTATCCTTTTCCAGATTTCAACACGACTGTATTAGTCTGCCATGGCGGCCATAACAAAGTATGTCAGACTGGGCAGCTTAAACAGCAGAAATTTCTTTTCTCACAACTCTGGACACAAGAAGTTGAGATCAAGATGTTGGAAGGGTTGGTTTCTTCTGAAGCCTTTCTCCTTGGCTTGCAAAGGGCCATCTTCTCCCTGTGTCTTCACTTAGTCTTTCCTCTGAGGATGTG